CGCTGGCTAAAGCCCTGGTTGAATGTCACGAGGTTTGTAAACTTAGATGTTGGGACAAAGCCATAGAAGAGATTTTGAATAAAATTATATATATATATATTAACGTTACTTATAATTTAAGTTAAAATGTACTTTTGTGTCTCATTTTTTTATTCTGTTAAAAAGACTCTTAAAAGAGAGAAAACAGGTTATAAACTGTTATATACTTGATTTTTGTAATGTTTTAAACTTAAAGAGTTGAAATATAGAAGTGCATGTTCTCTCATTATATACAATGTTGATGAGAACTAGAACCATTTATATAACTTAGGTAAATTGAAATGCTAGGATGGGGAAAATGTTCGTAAAAACTGTAAGCCTGTAAGCGGCGAAAATGGTCAGCTTTTGCAGAAGCACTTGTTTCGTTTGATTTGGCATTCTACGACATTGGTATAGTTTTTATTAATTTTTTTTGTAACTTCCAAGCTCTGCATGAAATTTTTGTGAAGAGTTTCTTTGCGATGTCTCCACCATGTATAACCCGCCACTACACCGGTACCGAACACTATGAGTACAACACCGCCAGACTTAAGCGGACTGGGCAACTCCGATAGAAATGAAATGAAATACCTTTATTGTACATTCATGCCACGACGGGCTAGGTACAGGTCAAGATATGACAGACACATAACAAACGTATATAGAAAATTGGAGACAAAAGATGCACTACTTGACTTAGACATACATACATACGGAACATAGATCACATGTACAGCTGTATATTTCACTTTAGTGTAGCGCCTTGCACCCAAGCGTAATGGTTCGCGAAACGCAGGTTTTTGGTCATTTTGCCGGTGGAACGTTCTATCGCAACAGTAACTAAGGCCACACCGACTTAATTTTATGGATGACATCCTCTGAAGACCCCCAAACTAGTGCGCGCGGGCGAATAAAAAAAAATTCCGGCAAAAAATAAAAATGCTACTTAACCACAGGAATACAAAGCTGTTATTGTGAATTTACGGCAGTACATAGCGACGGATACAATAAGCCGGCACATGCTGGCATTTTGCGGAATCGGCACTGTACGTATGTACTGAGTTCTTGAGTCGTGGAT